ACTCTCTCTCTCTCTCTTCTCTCTCTCTCTCTCTCTCTCTCTCTCTCTCTCTGTGATTAGTTTCAGTCCATGTCAGCGGGTTGGCGGAAAATGACGCGGCACCACCATACACCCGTCTCCGGCCGCGTCGGCTGGTCTCCTGCTCATCATCATCCTCCTACTCGTCACGTTGCCACCCGACGGTGCTCTACGCCTCCGGACCATAACACGGCGGCGGAAGCTGGCGGTGAGTTCAGTGAAGGCCCTCAAGATGTGCTTATGGACGCTATGATCGTTGAGATCCAGGTAGCAGAAGAGGAGCTCCTCCATGAAGTCCCAGTCCAAAGGCTGGTTAGGGTCCACGTGCCGCGCCTCCACCATGTCCTGCATGGACCGGCGGAAGTCGTCGTAGGGGTCCTTGGAGAACGTCATCACCGCCACGCCGCCGCCCGGGACCTCCGCCCCTGCGTCGGACGACTCCTGGAAGGAGCACGACACCGATGGCGACGAGGAGAACGAGGACGAGGTGGCGCTCGCCCGGGCCTCGTCGAGGAGTGAGTTGGACGTGCCGGAGGAAACGAAGAAGGGCTCGGACGAGCGGAACGCGGTGGGCGGCGGGTCCTCGTCGTACCTGGCCGGGGGCTCGGAGGAGGAGAACTCGTCGCCGTCGTCCTCCCGCGGGTAGATGGAGTTGAAGTTCTCGTGGAGGAAGCGGTCGACGTCGGAGAGGGTGGCGGCGAGGTCGAGGCCGTGGTCATGGCGATGCTCATGCCCATGGCCGCCGTCGTCGTCGGGGTGGTCTCGACCGGCCGCGAAGGAAGGGGTCTTGGGATACTTGCACGCCGACAACAACCAACTGGTGGCGGTGGCAGGGTGTGGGGAATTGGGTATGTGCAGATGAGCTGGTACCTTCTTGAGTTTGGAGAGATACGTTCGGAGAGACTTGGGAAGGCCTTTCTTTCCCATCCCCACTCTCTCTCTCTCTTCGCCGCTTCTCTTTCTCGGGGACAGACACAGAGAGTCGATAGCTATTATATAGACGTAGAGAGATGCGGCAGTTCCAGAATGATCAGACCGCATTGGGGAGAAAAGATATTGTTCGATCTTTAATGCTGCTCTGCCAGCCGTTTGAAAGGAATGAATCAATTGGATTCATTTAGTAAGGAGAAAGAGAGGGGGTTAGATATCCATGGGAAGGTTTGAAGTGACTTTATGACTCAATCTCACATTCCTCTTTCTCTGCCTACCATTCACTTCTTACCTTTCGGGAGAGGGAGAGACAGAGAGAGAGACAGGGAGGGTGTGATGCCTCTCGCTTAATTCTCATTGACTGCGATCGAAACGCATCATCTATCTTTGTGAGCCATCAAAGAACAGTCCAAATTCTTATAAATCGTAAGATGTATGAAGATTTTTCTGAAGGATACACCGATTAATCGCATCATCCTTACAGACAGCTAAATTTAGATTCTGCAGACCATGGCATTATTGGTTGAATTGTGCAACTGTTACAGCCATGGGGAAGAGTGGAGAGGAGTGACCACAGACTTCACCTGGAGGTACTTGTTGATGGCATGCATGCCGAGGTCCCTCCCGAAGCCGCTCATCTTGTATCCACCAAACGGGCATCCCGGATCGAACGCGAAGTAGCAGTTGATCCAAATCGTTCCTGCTCGAACCGACCTCGTCACTCTGTTCGCAGTGTTCAGATCCTTCGTCACGATCCCTGCTGCTAATCCATACCTTGTGGCATTCGCTTTCTCTATCGCTTCCTCGATCGTCCTGCAAGCAAGCTTGAGATCAACATCGATGCTTAACCTCAAACTCCGGTCTCTAAAGATCGGAAAGCGTACTTAAACTTCATCAGCGACATGACTGGTCCAAATATCTCCTCCTGCGCGATCCTCATCTCCTCCTGTAAGAAACAATAATCTCTCATGCAGAAACCAATTTGTCCGTCGATCTCTACAGTAATTATGCATCTACTCTTGTTTACCTTGACATCAGTAAAGATCGTGGGTTCGATGTAGTAGCCTTTGTCGCCGCAGCGTCTTCCTCCTGTAAGCAGCGTAGCACCCTCTGTCTTGCCAAGCTCGATGTAGCTGAGAACTCTTTCGAACTGTGTCTTGTCAACCTGAGGCCCCTGTTGAACATTAGGATCGAAAGGGTCGCCGACCACCCAGCTTTTGGCGCTCTCTGCTGCCTTCCGGACGAACTCGTCGTAAATTCCTTCTTGGACATACACGCGAGAGCCAGCCACGCAGATCTCGCCCTGAAGGTGTCACATAGAGTATGGTTACGTCTCTGTCGAGATCACTATTGGATCGAAGGAGGCGAAGGTGGGACGCAGAGGCGATGCCTTGTTGTAGAAGATGGCGATGCGTGCGAGAGCGACCGCCATGTCTACGTCGGCGTCGTCGAAGATGATGAGGGGCGACTTCCCGCCCAGCTCGAGTGACACCGTCTTCAGGTTGCTCTTTGCAGCGGCCTCCATCACCAGGCGTCCCGTCTCCGTTGAGCCGGTGAAGCTAATCTGGAAACCAAGGTTTGGAGGATGATGTCGGCATGCAACGATGCAGTAAGACAACATCACTGAGAAGGAAGAGAAGCTGGAAACGCACGGCGTCGACGTCCATGTGAGAGCAAAGTGCAGCACCGGCAGTGGGGCCAAACCCGTTGACCACGTTGATCACTCCATCAGGAATACCAGCCTATACACGAGATGGAAGTCAACGCCACCATGTCTAAAAGGAGGAAGAGGAAGAGGAGGAAGCAGACCTGCTTAGCCAAGTGGGCGTAGAACAAGGCGGAGAGAGGGGTCTGCTCGGCGGGCTTGACGACCATGGTGCAGCCGGCGGCCAGAGCAGGGCTGGACTTCATTAAGAACATGGTGGAGGGGTAATTCCAGGGTATTATGTGGCCCACCACGCCGATGGGCTCCAGCAACGTGTACCCCTGGTACTCGCCGGCGAGCTTTAAGGTCTCACCGTGTACCTTGTCGGCGGCGCCGGCGTAGTACCGGAGGATGTGGAGGCAGTGGGGGATGTCCACCGTTTTGCCACTGGCCAGAAGCTTTCCGGCGTCGACGCTGTCCAGCGCCGCCAATTCCTCGATGTTTTGTTCGATGAGATCCGCGAACTTCGACATGATCCTCCCCCTCTCCTGATCGAGATTCAAATCCAATTTCGTTTCTTCATCTCCAAGAAAAGATGACAGTCAATGAGAGAGGAGGCGATCGAGGTGAGGGCGATCATACAAAACCAGACATGCGGGGCCATCGGCCGTGATCAAAGGCTTCGCGAGCAGCCTTCACGGCTAAGTCGATGTCTGCCTCGACTCCCTCCGCAACCTTCGCTATCACCTCGCCTGTCGCAGGATTCACCGTCTCGAACGTCTTGCCTGCGTCCACGGCGAGTAGATCCAATCACTAGTCGTCAACTATGGCTGTTGCTTCCGATACAAAGCATTCCATTTTTATCTCATCATCCACAAAGAATAATATGGACATAGATGGAATGAGCACGAAGGAGATATTAAGAGCAAGAGGTGGTGGTGCCTCGCGATAGACGAATGTGACAACGAGAGGTATTCATGAGATCATAGTAAACATGGACATGAAAAAAATAAGAAACTTACTGTTAACCCTTATTTACTATTCACAATATGCAATTGATAATCGCTTAAAAAATAATAAAAAATATATTTTATTATTTTCAATCCTAATGTTAATGATTCTACTTTTTATTTTCCTTCATCATAATTTCTTATTTAGGTTAATTTAAGAATAAATAATTTATAAATATTAAAAAAATTAAAATAAAATTATAAAATTATAAAGAGAGATGGAACTCAAGAATAAAATCCTAAAATAACTTTTTCAACAAAATCACCCAATAATACATGGCACTCTTCTTTCAGAGCAAAAGTCAACTCATCCGGCGGATGTATCTCTGTCTTCGATACATCAGTAATGCTTCCGTATCGTTGACGCAACGTAACAACGTGCAGCACGCAAAAAGAAAGAAAAATGGTAAGAGAGAGAGAGAGAGAGAGAGAGAGTAATATTAGGCCAAAAAGAAGAGAAGAATCAATTCTTGTGGGCTGAGAAATGTTTGTCAATTTAGCAACCTCAATGATTCTATAAACATGTGGAGATGCATCTACGAATTTTGACCATAAGAAAGAAAAAAAAGTGTAGTATTAATTATTGTGTGGCAAAGAACACGAGGAAACAATCTCTCTACCAATTAATAGAGGATTATAACAATAAAAATATCATCTTACGACCCATTCATCGATCGATTCCCACAGCCTTTATCTTGCTCTAATTTCCATCTTCCATGAACAATAAAACACAGCTTTCTTGGGAAGAGAACAAGAGAAAGTTGCAGTATATTTATCACCAGCAAAATAATATCATCAATAGATAGAGAGAGATATATATATGTAAAGAGGTATTGCAGTACCGGAAACGGAGTCGACAAACTGGCCATTGACGAAGAGCTTGGTGAACTTTATTTCTGGTGGCTTGAAGCTCTCCTTGCCGTCGCCGTTGCAGCGGTGGTTCTCCATGGAGGTCAACAGGAGACAGACCAGAACAGAGTCTCTCTCTCTCTCTCTCTCTCTCTCTCTCGT